TGCGGACAACACATAGTGGTTTACGATCTGATCGTGGATTGTTTATGGTTGCTTTCTTAAGCGACGAAATTTAACATTGAAATTGCAAGACTGGAATGGAAATGACGGGCTTTTCCATAATTCTAATGGGAGAACATTCAACTAGTCTGTCATAGATAGCTGATCACCAGAATACTTCTCCTCTCTCTTACTCTCCTCCCCCTCATCCCCTTTTACTCGTTTATCGTAAGATAAATGCAGTGACTCCTTAGCTCATCAGATAGGCAAGACTGAGTGCCTCCGTCTGCGCAGGCTATTGTCACTAGGGGTGATGTGGTCAGCATATGCGATCAGGGTGGTCTTTGACATTGCCGCTTCTTGCTCTTCTGGCCAAAACCCGCAATCTCCCCCCAACCCATTCATTTATATTCATATCACAAATGCGCACCCATGTTTGCTAACTTGACTGCATTTTAGATGAATTTACCCACAAAAAAAGGAGGGAAAAGAGTTGAGCAAACAATTTCAGAAAAGAGAATTTTCGGGAGAATCTCACCTGTGCATATTCACTTCGCCAGGTAAGCTCAAAGTTGTTAGGGATCCGTTTGAATTGAAAATTAAAATGCGGTATAAAGGTAAATATAGAGATGAGGACGTCAAGCATGTTCGGTCGTTCTTCAATTTAACATTTCTAAATTCAAAAATTCATAAATAAGCTGCAGAGGTTAGGTTTTTCACTGGGAAAACAGTAGGCTAAAACGAAGTGAAGGTTTTGAGAAAGATATGTTTCAAGGGGGAAAAGTGTAACCGGATGTTTGCAACAACTTCTGACACTGCAAGAAAAAATTCTTGAGGGAAAGCAGTAAAATTGTGTTGAGAAAAAGCGAAGAAAGTGCACGCTTAACTGGGGGAGAAGCATTAGAACCAGTTCTTGAGTAGCTGCTGGTGCTAATGGAACAGAGTGTTGGAGCTGCAGGGGCAAAGCACTCACAGTAGAATGACCAAATGGAGTAGCTGCCAGGAATAGAAGCATAAACAGTAATATGATATTTGAGAAGGAGAGAGATATAGTTGATAGTTAGGATAAGAAAAAAGTGTGATAGTGATATGTGTGAAGCGGAGAATGTCGGGAAAACCATTACAGGTGGAATAATGCATGAAAGAC